GAGGAAGAAAGAAGAAAAGTTGCTGAAGTAGAAGCGGCAGCAGAAGAAGAGAAAGAGAGGATGAGGATTGAGAGTGGAGAAGGGAGTAGTAGTGGCACGATGACGAGGGAGACAAATACAGGGCTGGAGAAGAGGATCAGCGAGTGGGTCGCTAATTTATCGTTGGGAGAAGATGAGGAGGCGGAGTCCTATGTGACTAAGGATGAGAAAACTGCGTTGGCCGCCGAGCTAGCAGCCATGACAGACCCGATGGAACGAAGAGAGAGGGAGGAGGAACAAAAGTTAGCATGGAAGCTGAGGATGAAGAGAGAGAAAAAGAAGAGGAGAGAGGAAGTGAACAAGATGACCGCAGAGGTGGCAAAGGTGCAGGAGTGTAGAGCGGAGGTGCTGGCCCAACCAGACGATAAGGCCAAGTGGGACRAAGTACTGGGGTACCTGGAGGTGTTGAGCAAGGCCTGGATGGAGGAGCGCCAGGCAAGCTGGAGCCAAGATGTAGCGTTGAGTGCCATGCGGTCAGGGTTTAGAGATTTTGCGCGCGAGTTCGTCACCCATATTGGGGGCGAAGTGAAGCAATTGAGAGATAATGTAGGGAAGTTTTGTGAGGGCGCCATTCAGGGTGCCAAAGCTGTAGCCGCTGTAGAGGGAGAGGCCAGACCCCGTAAGGACCCAATGAAACTCAAGTTCCCAGATGCGTATGGGGGGAAGAAGGAAGAGAACTTTGACAACTGGGAAGCCAGTGTCAACAGTTATATTTACTTGCAACATATCCTAACAGAGGAGCAAGTCCTCGTGGCCTTCCAGGCCCTGAAGGATGAAGCGGCTAGCTTCGCCAGGTCACTCGCACGTACAGCCGGTTGTGAAAACAACCTGGTTGCATATTCCAAAGTCACTCCTCTTTCCCAATTCCTCAAGCTCCTCAAGGAGCGGTTCAACGCGAGGCATTAGAGCCTCTGATAAGCTCCAAACGATCCACTCGCGGCAGCGGAGGAGTGCTAAGGCACTCAAGGGTACTATGGACAACTTGGTATCCATCCCGAACCACGGGGTCACTGAACCCCAGTTGGTCCAGTTGTTTTATCGTGCCATTCCAGAAGCCCTACGCGGGCATTTCTTTGACAAATCTCAGCAAGCCGGCATGACTTACGATGTATTGAGTAGAGAAGTCGTCCTGTATGAGTCGAAGTCTATGCCAGTTACCACTTTCTGGCATAAGGACCTGGAGAAGGGGAAGAAGTGGAAAGATCGTACCATCTCGGGCCAAGTTAAGGCCAAGGATCACTTGATCCTGACATTAGAGGAGCGTGGTACAGAAGAGGTCCCATATGATCAGATTGAGTGGGGCCTAGGGGAGGAGTACAGTTGTGTAGGGCAAGGGAGGTCTTACGCTGCTGTCGCGGCCGGAGGGAGGCCACAAGGTAGAGGAGGAGGCCAGGGCCAAAGGGGCCAGGCCATGGGAKGCCGAGGACCGGGCGCACAGGGGGTTGGCGGACAGGGAAACCGCCAAGCGGGAGGTAGGGGTCAAGGTCCCCCGTTAAATCGCCAGGGTAACCGGTCCCCACAACGAGGAGGTGGAAGGGCGCCTCAAGGAGGATGGCAACCAGGCTTGCCGCAGGGCAGGCCCTGGGAAGATCTGGGCTTGGACCAGCGCTTATGGAAGGAACGCGTGAACATGGGCCAGTGCGTATTCTGTGGTGACCCGGCCCACGTTATCAAATTTTGTCCAAAGTATAGACAGGCCCGTTGGGCTGCCCAGCAGT